TTTTTTTTTTTTTTGCTAAAGTAAACGCAGATTTCAGAGTGATACTTCTAATTCCGATTAATTACAAATACTAAAAGTATGCTTAGATACAAGAATTTCAAAAAAATCCAATCACTTTTTTTAACTCAAATTTAACTCAACCTCACTATCTTCAGTATTATTAATACATTCAAATAATATCAATCAATCATCCTTACACATCACATCAACTTTAATTCACTATTCATCAACTCACATAATTTTAACTGCCTATCACATCCCATAGTCTCTCTCCAACTTTTATATCAAATCAACTTTAATTATTTTATTCTATATATTATGTTAATACAAACTCAAAATTCCACTCAAGCCTAACTCAACCAACTTTTTCAAATCATGATTAACCAAAAAAATCAAACAAAAACAAAAAATCTAATATCAAAGCATCCCCTAACAAATTGAGTTATTTGTAATAGACTAGGAAAGGGTGTAATTGTAATAATATGAAGCAACTCCACCTATTTCCTCCATCTACAAAAACATGATAATTATGTAACTAGCACTTTAGTAATTTGGCAAACCCAAATCATCCAAGATAGTTATGTGATTAGCCTAAACATCAAGTACCTTGCGCTTCTTGCGAAGTTAGGGGAGCAAAAGGCTGGTTGTCGAGCTTCTCAATGTCCATAGGCGATTTTCTCGATCGTCTCTTTATGACGAAAAACGCAACTACAGCCCCAATGACCAGAATAGAAATAACAATTCCGGCTATAGCACCGCCGCCAATGCCGGAAGAGCCTCCACCTCCGCCACCACCGGATGAGTCTCCGCCGCCACTCCCTCCACCACCACGATGGTTCCGGCTGGGTCTGACAGCTGGCGGGGTGCCAGGTGGCGGTGGAGGGGCAGGCCCGGAATTGAATTGATTGCCGTTTGCACTGTTCGGTGAAGCACAAAGGTAAATGTGTTCAAAAAATGATGGTAATCTTTTCAAAAAAAGATGAATAAAAGATTATGATATGCTTACTGAATGTTTATGCCTCTCAGCTGTTGAGGAACCCATCCGGTAAAACGATTGTTCTCGACATTCCTAGAAAGAAACAAGACATAACTATAAGCTACAAAGTCATCTATTTTTCCTAAGTGTACTTGCAGAAAAAAATAAGAAAATAAAAAATATATAGGTGAGTGAGCTTCTAACACTCAAAGAGTAAGTGTTAAGCAGACATCAAACTGCAATAGGAACTCACAGATTTTCAAGAGGTAGATTAGCGAGGACATCAAGAGTTCCAGTAAACTGATTGTTTTGTAAATACCTGCAAAAGTATTACAAGTGAC